AAAGAGTGTTTGCCTCACATCAGTTTTTTTTCGTTTCTCTCTTTCTGTCTCTCTCTCTCTTTCTCTGTGGGTACCATGTAGGTCTTCCCCCACTACTATACCTTCACACCCTTCTTCTGATTCATTATCTCCTCCACTTTCTCCTACTCTAAACCCTTTAACTTTCTCTTTCTTACGACTTTGTTGTTCCTTTACAGGAGACCAGAAGGAAACCCATTAGATCTTAACAATTTGCCTGATGATTACTCTAGAGATGGCAAACAAGTTCTCGAAGACCATGCCTCTTCACCCGGTAAACAGTGATGATCAGACCTACATATGCACCTTAAAATATCAAAGGAACATATTTTTTTTTTCCTTTTTCAAATTCTATATCACAATCACACATCATGGGAAGTCTTTCATTTTTTATAGGAAACAAAATTGAACACTGCCATGGTTTGTTACCCATCCCTGTGGTATATTCTTTGACCATGAAACAGTGTTCATCACACTTTTTTTTTTTTGCTTCATATTTTATTTTTTGTTTCGTCCTTGTACATTTCCTTTTTTTTTTTTTCCTTTTTCCTTTCTCTCCTCTTCATTAAACCATACTGGAAAAGGAGATAAAAAGAAAAGGGAAAAAGGTTTATAAAACTAAAAAATAAAAAGCTTGCTGGGGGCGGTTAGTTAAATAAAATTGATTTGGTGATTTGGGTAATCGAGAATGGGCTTAAAGGGAAAGAAGGGTGTCATGGAAGTTGCTTTAATTGGATGGTTATGGTTGCAGGTTGCAGGAAAAAGAAAAGCGGCGGGAAGGATGGAAAAGACGAGTGTGGGAAGGTCTACGAGTGTAGATTTTGTTCCCTCAAGTTCTGCAAATCTCAGGCTCTCGGGGGACACATGAACCGCCACCGCCAAGGCTAGCACCTATCCTAACACTTTATTTTTATTTTTTCTTCTTTAAACATAACCACTCACTCACCGTTAATGATTTGCCCATCAAGCCTTGTCACTTCAATCTCATAAAGTTGCCTTGTTAGATTCCTGAAATTCGAGAGGGTCCTCCTCTTTTTAATTATTTCTTTCTTTTATTTTGCTTTTTATAATATTATTTTTATTGTCATTTGTTTCTGGTTATGTTTTTGGGCAGAGAGGGAAACGGAGACGCTGAACCAAGCTCGTCAGCTGGTCTTCCGTAGTGATCATAACCTTGCTGCACAAGCTCCTCCTCACTTAGGGTGAGCACCATTACTTGTTCAACACTTATATTTTATTTACTTCATTCCCAGTTTTTCTCTAAGTTTTTTAGGTTATTTTTCAAGATAGCTCACAACATTAATATTAGGGTACAAATTGCAAACACAACACTGTTTGATACAATTTAATTTGTGATGATATATTCAGATGCTGTACACCGGGAGGGTATCATCCACCAGGGGATCCAACAGTGCCTATGAGGTTCCCGAGATACTTCTCAGGTTCATCCTCAACTCACATGGCGCCACCACCGCCACCGCAACCATACCTATACGCTTCACCTTCGAGACCAGTGTCTTTTGGGTCATCGCACTTCCCGCACCAGCATGCAGCGAATGATTACTATGTGGGTCACGTGATGAGTGGGAGCTATGGAGGAGAGAGCACTAGCAGCTACACTTGCATTGGTGCACCGGTGGGGCAAGGAGGAAAAGAGGGAACAGTGCAGGAAGAAGGATTGAGTTGGGGAAGGGGGTATGCAGGAGCACAGCATCGTTTAGATCCTGCTTCAGCGATCAATCGGTTTCAAGATGGTTTCTAATGAGATTCGATGTCTGTTTGAGTGTTTTTGGTATGTGTTATGACTTATGAGATATCATAAAGACACGCAATCCAGAGAGAGAGACATAACAAGCTGACACATGGGGTCATGGGATGAGATGAGGAAGAAGAAGAGAGAGAGGGTTTTGGTTTATCTACAGTAACGAGAGACAGCTTTTGAGCTCATGGACACGCTCAGCTACTTTGGCTTGGAGCTGTGGGGTTGAGTGGGTGAGATTTGTTCTCAAACATGGTCTTTTGTATTGGTAGCTACCAGTTAGATATGAACTGAATCTTTCCAAATTTCCTTTTTACATTCACTTCCTTTTGCATGTCAAATTTTCTTTTTATTTCAATATATATTATATTAGTAGTAATATCTATCTCGAGAGATATTGACGTGTGTTTAATTTTTGTGGCAGTTAGTTTAATTTATCTAGTTGTTTTACATTCTGAATTCCTCAAAGCCCCGTCACTCTCGATCGCTCTCACTCTATATCCAAACCAAAATTGGGATCTTCTAGTTTCTTGAAATGCTTATGGTATCAGTGTCACACCATGCTTGCACAATTAGGGTAATAACACAGACAAGTTTTGGAGTCCTCTTGTGAAAAACAACTATCTTACTGAATGCTTCCTAAATAGGATATTCTAACGATCAAACCTGCAAAATATTTAATTTCTTATTAAAGAAAAGCTTTATCGATCCTTCCTCTCAATTTCCATAATGTTGTATTTTGAAAGTTTAAAATACAGATTATTTATTGCAGCAGACAGTGAATGCAGCTCTATTTAATTTGTTTGGTACATACCGAACAAAACTACTACCTAAGGAATAAAAACTCCTTGCTGTCAGCTCAAAGAACTTCTCCCAAATGCAGCAGTTTAGACAAAATATATATACCAATTTATATTTACTAGCTCATGATCATTCTTGAACAGTGAAGCACATGTAAATATTTGTTTATATGATACTAAGTTTAGTAATTTACTATCTAGTTCTCTCTTTTCTTTTCTTGGAAATTAATTTATTTTTCTTTGTATATAGATTCTTTTATGCATAATAATTGTGATATAATTATACATCATAAAAAATATTTCTATAAAACTTTTTTTCTTTTCAGGTTTCATCAATATATAATCCTGGTTATTTTTGTTCAAGATGCATTGATTCCTTTACTTGCTCTACAAAGGCCAGCACTTGACACACTGTAATAACATTTCTCTTTCAATGTTTAATTGGGATTTGAGAACCTTCATATAGGTTTTATATATAATCACTTAACAAAAAAGATATAGCTGTTTTTTTTTTTCCAATTTGATTAAAAGATAGTTAGAGAATAAAATTATTTTTCAGTTACTCTTTGACAATAAATTATTATTACCTTGCTCTGTCAAAAATATATTATTTTTACTTGCATCCCTTAACAAAGATATATACCATATTGCTTCTTTTCTTAATTTTTGTTCCTCCTCGTGCAAGTATATTGTTATTGTCAAAATTGAATTTTAAAAAATTATAATTATAATTTTTTTCTGAAGTAATTTTAATTATAATTCTACCGTAATAAATATTAATTGAAATGCAATAAAAAAATATAATTAATATATACCATTATTCTAATATATATATATATATATATATATATTTTCTGTAACGTGTAATAATTTAATTTTATTGGATACAGAATTATATTAAAAAAGACTAATTTGTTAAATGAAATTATATTTTTGTAGGAATCATAATAATAATGGTGTGTACGAAAAGGAAAGGCGATGTTTACCGGCTTGATAGTGTTTATGGTAGATCCAATGGCGATGGCAACATTGGCTGATGTGGCACAGATTTAGTGGCATTGTGGTGATGGCAACTATTGACGTGGGAATTTAATGATGAAGAACTTGGTGGGTGACTGTAGTCAATGTAAAATCTCTTTACACAGTAGAATATAATTTATTTGTTTCAAAATTTAAAAAAAAATAATTAGATTAATTACTTGGGGTTAAAATATTATAATTTATTTGTTTCAAATTTAAAATAAAATTAATTAATAAAAATATATTTATTTGATTAATTTGATTTGCATTCTTGATCAAGTTGTTTTAGTATGTTTTGATTTTCAAGTTTTATCACTTTCAAAGAGACTGATCAATAAAAAAAAATTATGTATCAATTACTTTGATTTGAATGATATTTAAACACTTTTTAACAACAAACCAAATTTATTGTAGATCTTTTAGAGCTCTAGTGTGTTTATTTTACTAGTTCAAACACAAGCATTTTACTAAATTAGGGATGTAAGTGTAACATTTATTATGATTTAAGAAGTCTTGGATGATTTATTTTAAAAGAAGTTTATGCTCTTTCCACTCTTACTTATCATGTTTTTTAGATTTGACAAAACAATTAATATAGACAAATGTATTTATGTATTAATATTATTTTTAATGCTTTATATTCTTTTATTAATGATTTAAATTTATTAAAATTATAAATTTTGCAAGTCTCAATATCTTATTGCAAGAAAAATGATTATTTGCAACTATCTTGTTCTTACATATATAATAATTGTGGATAAAACTAAAAATTACTTTTACCTATATTATTTAGTGTAAGTAAAATTCAAATATTTATACTTGTACACTAGTACAAAAGAGGTGTATTACGTCGGACATTTTTAGTTTTTTATGTAAGAAAAAATACCAACGTAGAAGCGGGAGACGTAAATTTTACGTCGGATCTACAAAACCGACGTAAATTTACGTCGGACATTACGACATCCGACGTAAAAAAGTAGGAAAAAAAATATAAAAAAAAAACATAAAAATGCCAGCAGAACGGCCCGTTCTGCTTGCAGAACAGGCCGTTCTTCTTGCAGAACAGGCCGTTCTGCTTACAGAACAGGTCGTTCAGTTTCGTCTAACAACCCAAAAGGAAACGCCCACTACCTATACAAATAGAACAACCAAAAAATCAAATAAAACAGATAGCCAGAGTAGCAATGCGAAGTAGAAAAGTGCTAACGAAACCTTGATTCATACCTGAGGAGCAGCAACAATGTGCAAATGAGTAACAAAGAGTTCATCCCTCTGCAAAAGACAAAAAAACGATTCAGTAACAAAGGAGAGGGAGAGGGTTTAGAGAGAAAAAAATGAAAAGTGATGAAGAGTGAATGCGCGCGGTGTGCCTCGCGCTCTCTTATTCAAATTTGCGTCCTTTTTTACGTCGGACCCTACCAGGTCCAACGTAAAAAAGTTTGCAAAAATTACAAAAATGCCACTGCATTTTTTTACGTCGGATTTTCGTATTTCTGACGTAAAAGGGGTGACGTAATATGCTAATTTTCCACTAGTGGTAATTATTTATTGTAGGTAAGAATGACAATAAGACACGATGACTATAAGTTTTACTATCTTTGTCTCTGTTCTCATATCTTATATCCACTCTCATTCCCATACTTGATGGGTATGAGATCTGTATCTCCATCCCCATCCTCATCAAATATTAAGATATAAAAATTAATTAAAAATGTTAAAAAATATATTTAAAATATAAAAATTTTAACATGAAATAATAATTATAAAATTACGTTAATTAATTAGTTTTATTTGACATAGATTTAAAATAGAGAAAAAATTACATAAATATCAAGTAAATTTTTTTAAAAATAAATCAAGCTTTTAGAAACTTAAAGCGAGTACGAGTATATGTATGAGACAAGAAAATGTATACTCATCCCATCCTCGTATCCAAATTAATAACTTGAGTATTACTCATATTTATATCTGATCAAATCGGATATTACCTGTCAAAGTTGGAATGAGTTCAAGTATTACTTATGGATACAAATTTATTTGTCATTCTTAATTGTAAGTAAAACCTAAAAAATTTAAACAAACATAATGAACTTTAACAAGGTGCATGGGATGTGCTTAGAGTTGTTAATTTTAATCTAATCAATCCTTAAATAGGGTCATGCTAAGTTATGAAAAATTTGATTGACCTAAATAAAAATAAATTATTTTAACTCAATTAATTTAACTCAACATGCTAAATAGTCTTAGGTTGAGTTATGTTGTAGGCTTTAGATTGTCTGATAAAAACTTAGAAAAAATAATAGTTATAATAGATATAATAAAGACTTATTTATAGTTGTTGTTTGCTTTTCATTATGTTTTTAAATCTTAATATTTTTAGTTGGTTTTGGCTTGCTCAAATAATATTAATTTGGTGGTTGATATTTGTATTAATTATTGTTAGATTGATCATGTATGTGTTTAATAATTTTCTTATTATGATTTGAGAGTTATTACTTGTAACAATTTAGTGATTTGAGAGTTAATATTATCAATTCAGCGGTTATCTTTACATATTATTGTATATAAATAAATGTAGAAATACCTTTTCTTTTTACTTGCTCAACTTTTATTTTATCAATTTTTTTTTAATTCTCTCTCTTTCAAGTTGAATGTTACGTGCTATTAGTAAAAATTAAAATTATTTATTAAAAATTTTCAAAATATTATATTTAAAATCATTTTTAAGTTATTTTATTTTATTTTATTTAGGACCAATTTAGTCCTATGGTTCACTGACCCAATATACATCAGGTTGGACAAAAAAAAATTTCAACCCGAACATAATTTAGGTCAAATGAAATATTCCTTAAAACACCATGTGATCGGTTCTAGCCGTGTTATGCCTGTTTGACAACTCTATATATACTATTTATGTATCTTACTTTTTAACAATTGAGGTTTTGGAAAGATAGGTCCAATTTTTTATTGATATATATACTTTACTTTATTTGTAGTTATAATATCTTATAGGATCCGATAAGAAAAGGTTGTGCGAATAAAGTTAAAAAGAAAATAAAATTAATTTAAATATTATCACAATATAATATAATAATATTAAAAAATTTAAAACTGAATGGGTGACTGTGCCCCCATAATATAAATGTAGGACATCCCGGCTTTGAATGGTTTAGGTTCACAAAGAAATTAGAAGGCTTTATATTTAAATGTTTGTTATATACAATTAACATGCTTGTAAAAGCATGTTATCTGATTTCTAAATCCAGTAAAAGACATCAAAAACATCTTTATGTTTTTTAAACGAATATAAACTAAATCATCATTATTGATAAATTTGGTATCCATGTGATTTCATTTGACTCGAATCAAATTAAAGCAAAACTGTAATCACTTTTGTACTTTAGTCAGAAAAGTTCAGTCAGATCCAGAAGTAATTATCACACCGAGTTTCATTACTTGACCAGATCAACGAGGTTTGGGCTTTGAACTTCTCAAATAATTATCACCCCGTTTAATTAGTTTAGTTTCTCCGTGTTGAGATACTATTAATTAATTGATTTAAATTAGAGGAGTGGCACAATATGTATAGCTTTAGGTAGCTAACCTTATATGGCTATAATATATAGGTAG